GGGGGGCGGCGGTTTCTACAGGATGCACAGGTCCTGTGTACCTGTCATCCTGTAGAAACTGTGAAAACCTCGATGGTCAAGAATACGAGGGCAAAAAATTCGCTTTTTTTCCCTGAAATTCTACGCCTAATTAAGCAAAAAATTCACTTTAGTCGAGGTTTTTGCAGACTCACCTCCCCCCTCCCCTCGCTCCGGGGTGTGCGCGGCTCTCATGTACGAGCACTTTGGTAGGAAAATTGCTAACTCGGCAACCGGCAAAGCTGGAAGGCTAAAATTTCTAGGGTATATTCTTCGTCCCTGTTATGGCACGAGGTTATTTTGCTCAGGTATAGGGTTTTTGCAGCAGATGACACATTTCTGGCCGTTAGCAGTGTTCTCTGTCGAAAAAAATGGCATTTCAAGAAGGTCATGTCTGTCCGCACGTACGCCTGGATTTGCACGTGAACTTCCCCAAAAACCTGATCGGGAGTGGAGGAAAGCCTTGCTTGTTAACCCTGGCGGACGGATTTTTCTGGTTCCCTATGGAGATTGTCGAAGTCTGAGGTCTCGCGGTACGCTTGGTTGGTTGTCAAGTCTTATCTCATGGGTGATCTTTGGTCCTCTTCGACTGATGGTTTTCGGTGATTTCTTGGCAGGGTTCGTTTTTAAGAACTGTTGCATTGACGAAGGCGCGCCAAGGGATGGCTCCGGGAACGTTTTCCAATCGAGTGAAAACTTGCCCTGATTTTGCGTCATATTTCTTTTTTTTGGTTTTTTCGTTGTTTTTTTACGCATTTTCAGGATACGGAGATTTTGCTGGTCTGGGAAATTTCAACAACTTCGAGAGTGCAGCTGAGCAACAACCCCCACCACCCCACGTACCAATGGACGAAGGGGCTACTCCGCAACCACTGTCCGGCAACGGTCGTCGCTCGGGCAACAGCAACTACAGCCTGCAGCAGGTTGGACACACAGATTTTGTTCGCGCCAAACTCACAGGCGGATCTAGGACGGCCTCCTGGCCTGAGAAGGGGGG